CTGGCTCAGCTTCCCCCTCCAGACAGCCTGGACCAAGGCACCTTCCAGACATGGCTACAGGGCAAGTGCATGTCAGGGCCACGGGAGCAGCGGCCCCAGGGTCACACGCTGCCCCTTTCGGCACTGGGGCGGGTAGTAGCCAGAGAAGATCAGGGCTTGTCCGAAGAAGGGATCTTCCTACCCAGGGTGCTGACATCCTGGGATCAGTAGGGAAACCTCCCACTGGCTGAACTGGAGCCAGATTTCTCCCAGGACAATATAATCTGTCCAGTAAGAGGCAGGGGCATCCATCTACATAAAGTACACAACAGTACCAAGGAGGGTAGCCATGTGAATCTGTTTCAGCAGCAACACCGAGGTGCCCTGTGAGCTCTTAAAGACTGACAAAGTTATTTGGGCATAAGTTTTGGTGGGCCCCAGCCCCCATCCTCAGATGCCTCTGACCAAGTGAGTTCCAGCCCACCAAAGCATATGCCCAAATAAATGTGTTAGTCGCTAAGGGTATGTCTACAGTACAAAGTACACTGCAATCAAGTTCTTTTGAAAAATAATTGAAAGAACAGGGGGGTTTCTGACATTGGTAAATCTCTTTCTAGGAGGAAGAAGCCTTTTTTCCTGAAGAGTTCTTTCGGGAAAAGGCATGTGTGGACATGAAAGAGGGAGTTCTTTTGAAAGAAGAGAAAAAAGCACAGGTGCCCTGGTGGCCACTTTGTCCATAGTAATCACAGTGTAAATGTGAGATAGCATCCACACTGAATGGATGCTATCTTTCAAAAAAGCAGATCGCTTTTTCGATGCGCTTTGGCAGTGTGGACGCGCTCTTTCGGAAGAAGTTTTTTTGGAAGATCTCTTCTGGAAAAGCTTCTTCCGAAAGAAGCCTGCAGACTAGACGTAGCCTAAGGTGCCACAAGACTCCTCTCTGTTTTTACCATAGTAACAAACATTCCCAGTAATCCTATACTCACCCCCACCTCCCACTGACTTCACTAGGACTGCTTGGTCACTTGAGAAAACGATGGCAGTATCACACCCAAATAAAATATAGTAAACTTCCGATAATCTGGCACCTTTAGGACCCAGGGGGCGCCTGATTATCAAATATGCCAGACTATTGGAAGTGGGGGGGGCTATGAGGAGTCTGGGGTGGAGTGGGGGGGATGCGCCCCTCAGCGCTGCGGGACCAACCCAGCAGCACCTCAGTTGCTCTGCCCCAGGCTTCCCGGAGTCAGCCGCTGGTCAATTTCAGCAGCGGCTAAATCGGAGAAGCCGGGGGCAGAGCAGCTCCAATTGTCCAGCACTTCCGGGTTCCAGATGGTGTCGGACCATCCGGAGTGCCGGACCATTGGATGCCAGACCACTGGAGTTTTACTGTAATTTGTTCATTATGTCATTACAATTTGGTATGCTGAATGACCGAGGTTTTATACAGCACCCCGCAGAGTGTATTTTGCATGGCTTCTGCCATTTTTACAAAATTTAAACACTGATCTTTGGGATCTGCAAACCAACAGTGGACACATTATGCAATCAGATACCAGTTTACCAGGAATCTGGGCACGGGCAGCAGGTATGAGAGGGAGGAGAGGGGAATGCCTTCCCAAAATTCAAAGCTGGCTCCACCCCTTCAGCACAGCTCTCCCAGTCTCCTAGGGTGCCCAGGGTTCAGCCCTGCACTGCTAGCCTCCCCATGCTCCAGGGATGGGGAACCTGGGACAACAGAGGGCAAACAGGGAAGGCTGGGGTTGTGGGCTGCCCATGCTCTGTGGGGGAGGCCAGACCATGGGCCACAAGTGCTACCAGGGAGGAGGCAAGAATAAGGTCAGGCCTCCTGGGAGAACTGTAGGCCACAGGACATCCCTGCTTGGGTAGGAGGAAGGTGCCCCTACAGTGTGGGCAGCAGAGGCAGGGTCTCAGGCAGAACCCAGCCCTAGGTTCACCCACCACCCATGAATCTGGGGGAGAGGGGTGTTTATGGTCAATATATGCAGTGTAAAAGGCAGGAAAATATTAATTAAAAATAAGTTTTATTTTTTTTAAAGTTTTAAAATTCTATAGTGCTAATGGTATATGGAGAAGCAAATTTAGTTGAATGTTAAGTCTGATAATGTTCCTTTTCCAAAATCCATTCTGTAATCCCTCGAAATGTCATAATTCCTTCTTGTATACAATGTTCCTGTCATTGTTTATTCTGAAGAGAAAGCATACTTCTTATACAGCTGGCCTACAAACCTCAAATCTAATTATTTCCTGGAGCTGGCATAATTGTGTAACCTTGGGTTTAGAATTTTACAATACAGTAGTCATCCTTTAACTTTGCTATTACTGAGGGGGAAAGTGAATACGCACAACGGGCGGAATCTACAGTATCGATTGTGCAAAGCTGTCAGCAAAATGTACGTAAAGTTCTGCTGAAAACCCATAAACATAATATTGCAAACCACAATACAGGAGATCCACTGTTTAGACAATGATAAAGATTTCTTCTATTTAATTTCTAGTAATAGCAGCAAATAACTTGATGGATCAAGAAATTATGCAGTTATTTTCATGTTCAGAATAAGTTTCCTTACTTCCCATTGCCATCTTCTTTGGAGATATGTTTTCAGCATTATTCTAAATTAGGTAAACTTTTTTCACTGTGTTTCCCAGAATTATTATGAAAAGACAGGTGTTTGAATTAAAACTCTGAGGCTGTGTCTACACTGGCATGAATTTCCGGAACTGCTTAAAATGGAATACTATTCCGTTTTCAGTTTTTCCGGAAAAGGAGCGTCTACATTGGCAGGCTGCTTTTCCGGAAAAGCCCTTTTTCCGGAAAAGCGTCTGTGGCCAATGTAGACGTGCTTTTCCGGAAAAGAGCCCCGATCGCCATTTTCGCGATCAGGGCTTTTTTCCGGAAAAGACTACTGGGCTGTCTACACTGGCCCTTTTCCAGAACAGTGTTCCGGAATAAGGACTTAAATAGCGGCTGATTTTGTACAGTAGAGCATCGTTGCTTTTCCGGAAATTCAAGGGCCAGTGTAGACAGCTCTCAGCTTATTCCGGAAAAGCATCTGATTTTCCGGAATAAGTGGCCCAGTGTAGAGACAGCCTGATTGTAACTACAGATAAGGTCATTTATTCTTCTGCTTGTAAGCTGCTTCTGTGTATATAGATCTGAACCAACAAAATCTTGAGCCATTAAATATACCATACCCCTTTTTGCAATCAGATTTTGCTTACATTTTTTTACCTGTTGTTGTATATGAGACTAGCTTGAAAACCTATAAAAGTCAGGCCCTAATAGAGAATGACCATGGAATATGTACCAATATCCTTTCACAATCACTTTTCTGACGACTGCTGTTACTCTATATTAAGCTCTGCTACTATGGTCAGCAGAACTCAAAACAATTAGTAAAAAGGATGGGGGGGACAACAGCTTTTATTTTCACAGTATGAGAGCAAACAATTATTTTTATGTTGTCCTTTTTTTTTTTTTTTTTTTCCTAGAGTCTGTCAAGCAGTGGAGAGCAGAAGGCAGAATAGCAGTCTGGTTGCACATTCCTATCCTCCAAAGCAAATTTATAACCGCTGCTGCTTTGCAAGGCTTTACTTTCCACCATGCGGAGTCAAACTCATCCACGCTGACACTGTGGCTAGGAGAAGGGCACAGCAGGTTACCAGGGTATGCCACGCATCAGTTAGGAGTGGCAGGTTAGTTCCAGAAATAATTCTATTTATGAAAAAGAGTTGATGGTTTAGGACCTGATTCAGCAAGAAGTCAACCACGCTTTCACAACCCTGAAAGAAATGTTTGTTGAGGGACTAGATAACTTTGTGAAATGCAGTCTGTCATTCATGTGTCTCTCCGTAGAACAAACTTTGTGTTGTGTTGGAATTAAAGACAAACTGGCCAGCTGTTGTCTCAGTTTTGAGGGTGAAAAAAGTTTTAAATGGTGTTGGGCAGTGGAAGGGAGATATGTTCCTGAAGCTTTGTCCTATAGGAATCTATTTAAAAAACCACCTAAATATAAGAAGGAACTCTGTGGTATTCACGCTGCAAAGAGAGATAGGACCCAGGAGAGATGGAATGATAAAAATCCAGAACTATCATTAGAAATTGAGAAATAATGAAGTATATCTTTTTACAAAAAAAAAATAATAAAAGAAATGCAGTCCAAAGTATTGTATGGACTGTAAGAGTGGCCCTTTCCTTGGATCCATATAAGCATGCTAAAATACCTGATTAGAAGAGTTAACCTTAAGCGTTACCTGGTTAGAAGTGTAGCAGTTTTGAGAGCCTGTAAACAGTCATGCACTAATTTGAATTAAAAGGTACTCATGTGAGATGGAAGATTGTATTTGATTATATTGTAAAAAAGAACATCTAACTGTAAAGACATTTTTTTCTGACTTACATTGTAGCACAGCTTTGCAATATTGAGTTGCCAGTGCATCACACATTTTGCATTGCAAATCAGCAGAGGGCAGCACGGCTGAAAATGCTTAAGACAAGCTTTGGGTTTTTTTTCCAATGGACATGTTTGAACATGTTTTCCAGAGGTATGAAAACCTCATCATTAAAATATGTGGCATTAAACTAAGGTCAGACAATGCATTCCCTTTGCAAAAGTACAGTAATGCTCCTTATGGTAACAATTTACATATTTGAGACAATAGAAGTAACTAATAGAAGGGGTTTTCCTAAAGTAGGGTTTGTATAACTCAAAATGCAATTTAAAAAGTGACAGTTTAAAAAAAACCTGTTTTGTATGCTATAAAACAGCGGTGGGGAACGTAAGGCCTGAGGGCCAGATGTGGCCCTCAGCTTGCCTGGATCCAGCCCCTGAGGCTCAGGGCTCTCCACCCACTATTGGAGAGCCTGCACTGGCATTCCATTCCTGCCACTGACCCCCGCGGGGCTGGAGCACACAAGATCGACTAGTCTGGGCCCCCAACGGGTCTAGTGTGAAAAGGGAACGTGGGGAGCGTATTTCTGTTTCTCAGTTGGGGGCCATATCAGAGAAAAGGGTTTTTTTTTCTTTTGCTTCTCACTTTTTCTGTAGGTCAGTGGCCCTGACCCAAAAATCCTTTAAATATTAGCATTTTATTGTCTGTTATTGGGGGGGTGAACATTTTGGCTATTTTATACAAATGGGAACTAATTTCAACAGCAGAAGCAATTAAATAATCCCAGAAGCTGTGGCATATTGATTTCAAGCACCGTTGCATAAGAATTAATAAAAAACTCGCATACTTTATGTATTTATTTTCTGCTATTGTGTTTGAATCCACCTGGTTTTAATTAGTTTTCATTAGGAGTTTTTGATGGAAGGAAAAGATGAGGAACACATGAGAGTGTAAATCAGCTAATTTAAGTAAACTTGTAGCAATGCTATTTTATTTTATATAGGTGCTTCTGTATAGGTACAGTGGAGTGATGTCTTTAAGATTATATATATTTTACACACACATTCCTGAAAGTTCATGAGAAAGCAAGGCAAAAGAAATGCACCATGCACTGGGGATGGAAAATGGTGACGTTTTTGGTGATCCACAGTGCCAGATTGGCTCTTGAGGCTAGGTCTACACTAGATGATAAGTTTGAATTAAGATATGCAACTCCAGCTATGTTAATTGTGTAGCTGGAGTCAACATGCCTTGATTCAAATTTTGGTGCCATCTTCACAGTGGGAGAAACATTCCCATCAACTTCCCTTATACCTCATGAGGAGTAGGAATACCAGCATTGTTGGGGGGGGAGGGATCTCTTAGCATTTGATTTAATGGGTCCTTACTAGACCCACTAAATCAAACACCAGAAGATTGACCTCCAGAACATCAATCCATGTAAAGACATGGCCTGAGAAAGTTCTTGTCTCATAACATGGCCATGGGATAAGAGGGAAGGTCCTTTCTTGGATTGAGAACAGGTTAAAAGACAGGAAACAAAGGGTAGGAATAAATGGTAAATTTTCAGAATGGAGAGGGGTAACTAGTGGTGTCCCCCAATGGTCAGTCCTGGGACCAATCCTTTTCAACTTATTCATAAATGATCTGGAGAAAGGGGTAAGCAGTGAGGTGGTAAAGTTTGCGGATGATACCAAACTGTTTAGGATAGTCAAGACAGAAGCAGACTGTGAGGGACTCCAAAAAGATCTCACCAAACTGAGTGATTGGGCAACAAAATGGCAAAGGAAATTTAATGTGGATAAGTGTAAAGTAATGCACGTCGGGAAAAATAACCCCAACTATACGTACAGTACGATGGGGGCTAATTTGGCTATGACAAACCAGGAAAGAGATCTTGAAGTTATCGTGGATAGTTCTCTGAAAACTTCCACACAGTGTGCAGCGGCGGGCAAAAAAGCAAATAGAATGCTAGGAATTATTAAGAAAGGGATAGAAAATAAGACACAGAATATTTTACTGCCCCTGTATAAAACTATGGTACGCCCACATCTTGAATACTGTGTACAGATGTGGCCTCCTCACCTCAAAAAAGATATTTTGGCCTTGGAAAGGGTTAAGAAAAGGGCAACTAAAATGATTAGGGGTTTGGAACGGGTCCCATATGAAGAGAGGTTAAAGTGACTGGGAGTTTTCAGTTTAGAAAAGAGGAGACTGAGGGGGGATATGATAGAGGTATATAAAATCATGAGTAGCATGGAGAGGGCAGATAAAGAAAAGTTAGTTATTAGTTCCCATAATAGAAAAACTAGAAGACATAATAGAATAACTAGAAGCTGAGCTTTCAACACTTAACACTTTAACACTGTGCTCTTAACACTTCCCAGTCACAGGGAGCAATGCAGGCTGAAGGATTTGCTGTCTGCTAGGAAGTGTTAAAAGTTCATTGTTAAAGTATTAACTTAAAAAACAGCAAAAGGTCTGATAGCATTTTATAGACTGACAAAACATGTAGATGGTATCACGAGTACTACCAGACTTTTTGTTGTTTTTTAAGTTTATCCCGTAGAGACTAACTTGCTACCCCCGAAGCTTGTTGAAGTATTAAGTATTATCAGTGAAGAGTCTCTCAGCTGAGAGACTCCCTGCTAGAATCATAGGGCTGGAAGAGATCTCAGAAGGTCATCAAGTCCAGCCCCCTGCCCAAGGCAGGACCAATCCCAACTAAATCAACCTTTGTCAAGCCAAGACTTAAAAACCTCTAGGGATGGAGATTCCACCACCTACCTAGGTAACCCATTCCAGTGCTTCACCACCCTCCTAGTGAAATAGTTTTTCCTAATATCCAACCTAACCCTCCCCCACTATAACTTGAGACCATTGATCCTTGTTCTGCCATCCATCACTACTGAGAACAGCCTTTCTCCATCCTCTTTGGAACCTCCCTTCAGGAAGTTGAAGGCTGCTATCTAATCCCCCCTCACTCTTCTCTTCTGCAGACTAAACAAACCCAAATTCCTCAGTCTCTCCTCATAGGTCATGTGCTCCATCCCCTTAATCATTTTGGTCGCCCTTTGCTGGACTTTCTCCAATGCGTCCACATCCTTTCTATAGTGGGGGGCCCAGAACTGGACACAATACTCCAGATGTGGCCTCACCAGAGCCAAATAAAGGGGAATAATCACTTCTCT